TATTCTAGATAATGACATAACACTGACAGGAGATTTGCAATTGCCAGTTGACTGCTTTTACTTTGGATACTTTAAGTATATAGAAAAAAGAAAAATTAAATGCAGGACCATCACGAAAAGATCTGAAGAGTCCTTCGCCAATGTTAGGCTGGGTTTTGACACTCAACTTTGCATTAAATACAACTTGTTGGTTTGAAGTGTCTTTTCCAGTGTTTTTCTACCGACCTCTGAGTTCAGAAGCAGTTTCGCTGACCTTTGATATAACGATTTAGCCTCACAAGCTAGACATTCCTCGATCAGACAACTAACACTTACATAATGTCAAAATTACATTTGTGAGGAGGGATGTTATATAAACACAGCACTTGATGAATGCTAATTACATGCTCCACACACAGGGAGTAATAAAGCAAGTTCCCAATGGAGGCTTTCCAAACCACTAGGCAAGCACAACTCATACTAATGAGCATGAACTAATTTGTTGTGATATTGAACAGAGGGTTGTTAATAGCAGGAGCCATCCCTCTCCCCTGAAATAATTATTCTAATCGCTCATTTCAAAGGTGATTAAAATGCTTTCACCTGGCAGTTTTTCTGGGACTACCTGCACCGACATATGGTTTGGGACCTACGGTCAACAGGAAGTTGCCGATTTGTTTACTCGTTCAGCTGCCTAAATTCTTCTGAAGACCTGATGAGCCTCTCTCCTTCTGGACAGGTGCTCGCTGCTGGTAAAGGAGGCGTCCTTGCTGCCATGTGGCGTCATCAAGCACCAAGGTGACGGCAGTGATGAAGGTGGGTAATCTCTTCTAATACCAAAGTGACATGCACCAGCTGGGGATCGAATTTAATGTTGTCTTTGAAAGAACACAGTACAGTTGTCATTGGGGCTTTACAAGGCATTCAGGAAGTCTTGACATCGAATGTGCAAGGATTACACACGGAAGCAAATTTCGAACTTGGCTTTCTTTGTAAAAGTGCTTGCCAAGAGGCCTACAGTTGCCTTCGATACACACAAAACTTTTGTTAAGTTTTAGTTTGGTTTCTGCTTACCAAAGACTCGGTGGTGCACGAGAATGTTCAGGTACTTTTGCATTTAAGTGTAGCTGTTGATAGTGTGAACCGCTCTAACCTGACCTAACCAGTACTAGTTGTTTAGGTCAATATCTGACATATACACCATTAATCTAATGATTTGTCCATCTAGTTCATACGGCATTGTGAAAAGCAATCTTATGGTCAAGGATAGGGGACAGATGCAAAGAATTCTACAAAAGGGGATAACAGTGCACAGTTCCATTCTCTCTGCAAGGATGTTGCTAGTGTTCGATGTACACATGACCAGAAGCAGATACAGCTGTGTAAAGAAGTAGCCACCCTGTCTATTTTCACACTGTCATGAATCTGAACAGTTGCATAAGGACATGGGTGAGTTTGTACTTCGTGAAGTAGGTATGAATGTCAGATTGCCAGGTTCAAAGAGAGATGATGTTTGACCTCCCAAATTGCACTTTTGTTAGAGTATAGTGGTTCCTTAATGCACATGGGTGGGTACTTCAGGAGAAAGTTACAGAAATTGCAACGAGATGATGTTCGACCTTCCAAGGAACACTTTGGTTAAGGTAAACCGGTGCTTTGGATGGATATCTCTTGGGCACCACTGGCATGGTTGCTTCTCCTTCTACCTCTCTGACAGCGGGCTTTTAGTCACGGTTGATAACTATGCCAGCTCATCTGAAAGTCTGTCTTATGTGTGCCCCAAGGTCCTGTCCTGGATCCTCATTCTGTCTCCCCCTTTACAGATAATAACCAGTTTTACAGGAATCTCTAAACACTGCTCTGCTGATGAATTTAGATTATCCACTAAGTCAAAGTGTGAAAATCATCAAAATCGTGTATATGGGATAATTTTGTACAGAAGTGGTTTTAGGTTTTGCCCCCAGGCAGCCTTGTCCTCAAGACAAAGAAAGTCTTTGTTCTTTATCATCTTCTATTAAATGTTCCCATCAAAGTCTAGGTATCACTTGTAATGAGAGACTAACTTCTGACCAGCATGGGAAGTGTTTGATTTGATTGTTTTCTCTATTTGAGTGACATCACTATCCTATTCCCACTGTGCCTCAATCTGAGATGGAGATTAACTTTCTGGTTTTTATTTCATCCCATCTCACCTACTGTAACGCAAATCTAATCTGTTATTACCATAGATTCATATTTTTGGATCCATGCAATTCCTGGATCGCTGACAAGTGATTCAGTAGTCATTTGGGTTGCTGCAAAACATTTGGCCAAGTCTCTAGTGACACCAGTGTTTTCTTTCTCTGGATGCACACCAAAATTCATAATCAGATTGTTAATGACTATGGGCCCATAGAGAACTCAGCATGTTTAGACACGTTTCTACATTAGAGAACCACTGCAGCCCAGTAGAGCAGGTTTCTGATCAGATATCGTAGGTTATTATTTACCTCAGATCTGTGGACACCTTTGAAAAGCAGCTCATAACCTATTTTTCTGTTTTCTGTATGTATCAGCTTGTATTTACTGTGAAGCACTGCAGGATGTTTGCTCTTTTAACGTACTCTGATGTCTCATGCACAGTTGGAATCTGTGTGTTATGTGTCCTCATGGCCACAGGGTGTTGCTGTTGTACTTCCAACAGCTGCCCTCTTCCTGTGATGAGCCTGATAGTGATCAGTCACAGTTCCCTGTTTTTACACTTATATAAGGCCAGTGTATTTCATCTGTTTGTAAGCCACTATATACAGAAATTTCTCGCAATTAGAATGCATTCATTTATATTCTTATGTCAGCATCAGCACTCTCCTACACGGGAAATAATCTGTTTCCTCTGCTAAGTCGTATGATTGATTACGGTTCACTCGTGCAGCTGATGAACATTTGTCTTGTGTTTATA